TATTCTCTAAAATCATTATATCCATCAGGTACAATGACCACTTTGATACCAAGCGCAAATTCACATTTATACTGCAGATTTGAGCATGCATTAGAAATCAGCAATTGAAAAACTGTTTTGCTTACCTTGTCACCAATAACGTGTTGCTTAGGGCTGTAACTCCATTTCCTTCTTGAATAAGTAGGAATGCTTTTGTCTCTAAGGTAAGAAGAGCTTAACATCCACAACAATGCTCAGTCTTTTGCTTCCCTTCCTCTTGGTGTCCCAGTCCCTGACAGTCCCTGCAAAAACAACTGAACTTCCCTCCATGGCCACCTTTGGTTACTTGTTAGAAAAGGAAGCACCTATGAATCTTTAATAGCAAGAAACAAATTCCAAAGGAATAGTAATAGCAAGTCTAACCAAAGACAAACTTTTAACTGAAATTTTCTGACCGAACTATTCTTTACCCAACATTGCACATGTTCTGGAACAGTAGACTCCTAAACTGCAAATTCTCACTGCACATGCTGCCAGGTAGTCTTACTGATCTTAAGAGTTTGACCTGTGATAAGCAGTACTGCAAGGTGGCAGAAAAGGGGAACAGATTAAAGCTTTTACCCTGTAATTGTATAATCTGATAGTGTCCAGGTACCATTACCCCACTCTGAGCTTTTTATGAGTGCAAAACAGACACAAGACAATTCTTGCACCTCAAACGTTGCCAAGTTGCACTCCTCATCCTTACAATAGGCATTAAAAAAGCCATGTACGTGCACAGATCTTGCAAAAATAGTTGTGAAGATGACATGTAATATATGCTAAATTAGACAAGACAATCACACATGATCACCTAGGAATCAATCCTGGTGTAACCACCTAATAAAGAGCTTTTCTCTCCCGCACCAAACGAGTCCTTGGCATGACAAGGTGCTGCCTACAGACCCTGCAGCACGTGTGTTCTGCCTCCAGAGCTGTTCCAGCAGCCATGTCTGAGTGACAGTAAAGGAGGAAAAGGCACAAATTAAGAAGTTATGGAGACGATGCTTATGCCATCTAGCAAGACAATTGCTATGCGTTGTACTTTGTCAGAAGCATTTTGCATCGTCTCAGAAATCAAGCACTGTATCTATGAAGTCATAACCAAGCTGTGAAGCAGGAGAGA